TGTTGATTCAACACCTTTGGATAAAGGCAAAAATAAAGAGGAGGATATTACTTCTAAAGCTCTCAACGTCGATGAAGTGTACGACCTTTCAGAAAATCTTCTCGATGAAAATTACAAATCGCCGCAAGCCTTCGATAGGCCCAAACTAACCTTTTACGCGTTTTTTCCTTTGAATGACCTTCCTGGAAAATCGCTGCAACAAAAAATCTCCTTTGTTATTGACCTCATTTTCGATCATTATGATTCGTTCACCGGTGCGGTCGCTTCAAAACACCCGGACGATATCACTCTTCGAATTGCTAAAATTTTCTTTCGAAACAAAGAACATCGAGATCACGCGTGTACTGTTAAATTACCAAATATGGATAATCGCACATTTTCGCCCCTGAAGATCATCCCCAAACATCAATTTATTCCAGCTCAGTCGATCAAAGTTACGGAAATTCCCTTAGATGCAACAGAACACAGAATTCGAACGGTATTCTCCAAATTGGGAAAGATTGTCAGGCTCACCATGGACACAAAAAACCTTTAGCAGCAAGCGACTATTACGTACAGCGCCGACTCTAATTTCGATAATATAAAAAAAGGACATAGACTTTTCGTTCTCAATGACATGGTTAGATATCACATGTGTGACTTACCGAAAAAGGACATACTCGCCAAATCGAAATTTTCTGCCAAATTGGCTGGACTTCTTAGGTTTACAACAGGAAAGTAACTTATAGAAATTGGTCATATGTTGAATGCCACTGCTTGGATTATACTGAGGGCTAGATCCAATTATCTTCCACTCCAGCACGCATATTTCTATTTCAGTTCTAACGATGATGTAGAAGCAGCAATTAGTAATAATAATCTTAGTATTGACAACAAACATGTGACTTGGACCCAATCAAATGCTAAGCTCTGTGCAATTTGTTCGTCCCCACATCATAAAGCTAGCGAATGTCCTAGAAAATGAAGAACCCCAGATAATCGCAATGTACAAAAATTATATCAACGCTTTCAACCAGCACAATTCACAAATTATAAAGCGCCATCGAAACCATTAAAAGGTGCAGTTAATCCAAACGTTACCATTGCGCACGTGACCGGAAATTCCCAAGAACCCAAATCCTCCTCTAATGATGAAATGAAAGGACAAAAGAATCCGCATGAAAAAAAGCCAACACCAAAGAACACGTATGAGACTAATGATGCATACAACCAACAAAGAAGTTCATGGTCTGATGATATTCCTGATACATTGAATGATCGTCTATTTGACCAAACAGTTGTGCCTATCTCCTCAATGTACTTGGCAAATGGTACGATGAAAGGTGGATCTATGCATGATAATAATCAAGAGGATTTCAAAGATTTTATCCGACAACAATTCACTGCACTTAATGACAACCTCCGCTATTTAGTAAAATCACTTGATTTTACTGTACAACGTGTGGCTGCTATAGAGAAATCTATAAACATTAAAGTTGTTACTCCTTCAGAGGCGGATGCTAAGAACCTTGAAAGAGATGATGCGAAAAACATGACTTGTGATGAAATCGAACCTAAGATCAACACATCATCCTCTATTATTGTACAATAACGAAAAACTATTAAGGGCTTGAAGAGCATTAATCAGATGCATCAAATCTCCTTAAATCCTTCACAATGACGGTCAACACTTTAGTTAAATCTTGTGCTGCGTTTCAATCCATTCTGGTACAGAACAAATTGTTGCCCAAGGAACTTACCACTAATATGTTTCCTTTAGGAGATGCTTTCGACAGCGATGTTGATCAGTATCTCAAGGAGCTTCCACAATTTTAATATTTTTAATATGAACACTGTCACTACTGATGATCCTGCACAAGATGCACATAATGATTTTCCTATTACCTTATCTACCCCTCATCAAATTTCATTTGCCACTCATAACGTCAGATCTTTCACTAACATCGCTAAATAAACTTCTGTTATAGAATTGTATTCTTCACTCAAATTAAATATTATTGGACTACAAGAAACAAATTTTTCATCTTTTTCTACACACACTTTTAACCACACTTTCTCGTCATAATTCACTGGTTTCTTTGGTTCTATTTCAGATTCTCTACCTCAAAAAACTGGTTTCGGTATGGGTCTCTTACTCCGTTCGCATCTAGCAAATCACGTTTTTCACTATGAATCTAAGCATAATCGTATCATTCTAGTAGATCTGCAATTTGCCAATAAACAAAAATTAAGAGTAATTAATTGTTATCCGCCACCTGGCAATCACACCATTAGAAAACAGATACAAGGGGACCTCTTACAATACATTCAAGATGCGTTTGCAAATAATTATCATATAGTACTTTTAGGGGACCTCAATGCAGACATTGACAATCTTAAGCTGCATTCTCAAGATAAAAGATTTTTTGCTAGTTTTAATAACTTCAACTTATTTAACACTTTTTCAGTCAAGTATGATACACGAAGATCTGACTACCCCACGCATTATGGCCCTATGTCTTCTTCTCGTATAGATTACGTTTGGTCTTCAGTTGATGTTATCTCAAACTTCATCGGTTGTGAAACACTCTAACTGATCATGCTATAGTCATCCTTTATATCGAAAACTTCTTAGATGTTAAAAACAATAAAAGAAATATTCCTTTGAAAAAGGTATACGACTACGACAAAATGACTGAGAATAATTGGTCTGCCTTCGCTAACAAAACTGACACTTTAGCCAATGGTTGCTATTTACGTTGCCTAAACAATAAGACTGTGTTTAACCAGAATATGTTAAACCAATTTTGGGATCTCTTCCAAAACTGTATCATTAAAGCTGCAGACTCTATAATACCATCACACCAATCAAAAGGACACCATACATTAAAGAGACCTCCTCTCCTGTCTAAGTTGTACAAAAACCTCAAACTGCTATATAAACTAAAGAGATTGGTAAAGAAAATGGAAGTTACATCTTGTCTTCCCCAACATTGGTCCACTTTAGTCGAAAAATTTTACACAATTATGAATGATTTTGGCATAGGTTATGTTAGAATTCCTCCTGATCCCACTACTATCGTCGCAAAATCAACTGCTCTAATATATATCTGCTGCTAGGCTGCATTCTTGTCAAATCGAAATTACATGAACATGATTTTAAATTAAAATCTATTCAACTTGCCATTGAAAGAAGATTGGAAAATTATAATATTTCACCTGCACGTATGACAGATTCTCTTATGAACCACTCCAAACGGACCATTATCATTGATAGATGTATTAATAATGCTTCACCATCACGTGATTTATTGACTAATGAAGATGAGGTCAAAAAAGAAGTAGCTAGACACTTTCAAATGGCAGCTGGCACTTCTCACGAGAATGTGCAGATGGACAAGGAGTGGCTCCCGTTCTATCAACCTTTGGACGATGTTCATGGCTCCATATACAATGAATTAATGGCTCCACCTTCAGCTGATGAATGGTATAACATTATCGCCCAACTCCCCAATGGTAAAGCTCCTGGGCCATCCAAGGTGTCTAATGAAATGCTCAAAAATCTTGGCCCCTTAACTAGAAAATCGCTTTGGTATATTATTTGCGGTTGCTTGAAATTATCTTCGATTCCACACAGATGGAATCACGCTTTCGTTTATCCGATTTCCAAGCCTAAACCATGGGAATATGACCTAAATAATACCAGACCTATAACATTGTTAGAATGCCCAAGAAAAGCATTCATTAAACTTTTAAATCGTCAACTCTCCAATATTTTGATTAGAAATAATGTTTTAAAAGGACTCAACTTTGCTGGCCTTCCTTTCAAATCTACCTTTGAACCTTTACATATAATTGATAATATTAAATATGATGAGTCACACAATCAAAAAGACTTATGGATTTTATTACAAGATATGTCTAAAGCCTATGACCAAGTTAACATATTTATGCTTATTAAAGCATTGGAACGGCTGCACATTCCATTTAATTTCCTAAGATTTGTTCTTAAAATATTTGGGAATTGTTATAATCAAATCTTTACACTATTTGGTAACACTGAATCTTACCAAGTTATTTCTGGTATTGATCAAGGAGAGATCATTTCACCTTTATTATGGTGCATCTATTACGATCTATTACTCTGTCGCATTCAAAATTTCACACTTGGTTATTCTGCCTTGCTCACATGGAAACCTAATGTGCTTATAAATAAAACAGAATCATCTTCTCTCAAAACTTCAGCTCTCGCTTTTATGGATGATACCCTTTGGATAGCAAGATCACGTGATGATCTCACTAATATTGTTACCATGGCTGAAAGTTTTTACAAACTAAATCACATTAAAGTCAACTGGGAGAAATCGGTCTTAATGATTAATAATGCTAAACATAACCAACCATTCACATGCAATATTAATAGTAGTCTCACTAATATCAACCTATTACCTCTTAATGATTCCACTCGATACCTAGGTGTTTGGATCTCATTGGGAAGAAATAAGACCTTTACTATCAATATGCTCAAAGGAGAAATCAAAAATGCGATTACCATCATGTCCAAAAAGAAAATGACCGATAAACAACTGGTGTATATATTTAACACTATTCTTATACCATGAATTGAATATCGCGTCCAATTAACTGCTCTCACACCAGCTCAATGTGAAACTCTTGGTTCGACTTACAGAGCATTCATGAAGAACAAATTGCATCTATCACGAAACACACCATTATCAGTTTTTCATTCTAACTATTTTTACAACCTCATGGATCTTTATCATCGTCTTCTAGCAGCTCATAGTGAAGCATTACATTTCTTTCTTAACGATCACAATCTACTCGGGGAGTCCACCAGATTGCGTGTTAAACAACTTCAACAAAAGAATGGCTGCACATCTCTACATTGATTAAATGGCCATACCTCGCTTCTAAATCAAATGATTGGATTGCTAATCTGCTTTGCAATTGGAAGTGGCTCAATATCATTTTACAACTTCCTGATTCAGAACATTTTGTTATTAAAGGCGGTACAATCCCTCTCTCCTCGGTTATGCTGCCTTATGAATACAAGGCTCTTTCAGTGAACTTGAGGAAATACTCCTTGCTATTTGTTGAACAGTTGGTCTTTTTAGCTGGCAAGAT